GAGGCCCATGCGCGTGGGCTGGGCAGCGCTGGCCGCGGAGGCCTGGCCCGCTCCTCCCGCGCGGCCGTCTTGCTCGGCCTAAATACGTGATGACAGCGGAAGTTGCTGCTAATCATGATAACGTTGTTATGCTGTACGGAACAGCGCGTGTGCTCTTAATGAGCAGACATGGTGGGGGGAGAAAGGATCATAACACAAATTATTTTTATAAATAAACACATTGCTGTGCTTTTTGTAGGATAAGCGTATGCTGGGGCATCAGCCTGTTGCAAAGACTTCAATGAGCAGCTGAATGTCAGCATCCTGAAAACACTAGTTGCAGGCACCAGTACGGCTGTGAAACCCCAATTACCAAACCCCTTCGTGCAAGTGGACTCCGTACAGGACTGAGGTATCAAGACAACGAAGAAAGCCAGGTGTATAAAAGCAGCAGAACGAAATGGTGAAACTAAGCTTGAGGCTGCTTTGCTCTACGTTTCTTTAGCCTGTACTCCATTTTTCAGCTCTGATTGCGTTGTTCTAGATACAGAGATAATACTGAGGGACGCAATAACAAAAAGCAGTTAATCGCTCTGCAACTAAGAGGTGCTAAATTAACGTAAATGATCAAATCCAGCTTCCTTCTGCTTTAGAGGAAATTTGACTGGGCCCTAACTTGTGATTTCTCACCTCACCCTATCATAACGGCCAAATAGCAGGGTCCATGCCAGATGATAGTGTATGCACTTCGGACTAGTTCTTACAGAAAAGAAAATGCCATTTAATTATTTCCAGGCTGAGTGTTAGATTATATGTTTGTTGATATTTCTTCAGATTTGGATGATTCAGAAGAGCCTGAATTTAAAAATTTCAGACATTTCGTAAGGGAGGTTGTGCTTGACAAGGGTGAACATCAGCCTTGTATTTCCTGAGATAACGTAGTTTCGGTATTAGCAAGCCTGGCCTCCTGTAAATACTGCTTACTGATGCAGTTGAGGTTTGAGCGTTGTGTAATACCATGTCAAATGCTGGTTCAGAGTTTCAACACATTGCATCGTTGATGCAATATCACACCATTAGGGTTCAGTTTGGCTCCAGGAGAATGGGAGAACCCTCAAGAGTGGAAATGAATTTTTTTCAAAGCGTGACTGCATTCTTTTTGCGTGGCCTTCAGCCTTGATAAACTATGTAGGTCTCATACAGAAAACTAAAGGGCTAATCCAGATGGCCATAGCAGTTAATTCATTGCTTTCCCTTAGCTCAGAAACAAACTGTCAGGTCACAGTTTTGTGTGGAATTTTTATCAGTAGCAAAGCCAACTTAGGGATTCCCTCCTCGTGTAGCAAGGAGAACGAATGTGAAACTGCATTGGGTGGTGGTTAGATGAAATAGGTTTTGAGCAGATACATCCTTAACAAGGGCCAACTTCAGCGTTAGATGGACACAAGATCTCTTGATGATCCAGGCTGTTACCTCCTAAGAGGTAGTTTGATGAGTTTTTCATGGCTGTTAAATGACATGAGCCCAAGTGATGAATGCGTGTCTGAGAAATCTGAATGATTTGTGTGTGCCCCTAGAGGCTACTCTAGGTGTAATTTTATTAAATGAAAATAACTTATATAACAGGATAAACAACTGGATGTTGGTGTCTTGAATACAGCGAGTTTACAGAAGCAGAAGAAACCATGAAATGTATTTTATTTTTGTGTTTCTTTTTAGTGCAAACAATACATTTATATCACAGTGGAGGAAATGTACAAGAATCAGAAGAATCAGTGGTGGTTAGTCAAGAAGTCAGAATGGTGAAGAGTTTAATATTTTCAGGGAGCAGCAAGAGCGGGGCTGCTCCAAGAAGGAAGACAAGTGGGCGCCGAGGGTGACCGCAACGCTGGCATTGCCTTCCCTGACCCAGGTGCAATCGCACGTGGTCCAAACACAGTAGGCAGAGCCAGCCGCTGGCAACGGGGTTTATCGATAGTCCCAGACAAGGCCAAGGGATGAAAAGAGTGCAGTCAGGAACAGCAGGAGACAAGGCTACAATGTAGGTCCAAGGTCCATCCGGGGGGGCGGGGCTGGCGACAGGTATGCCTGAGCTTAAAGGGAGGTCTGGGACCGATCAGCAGAGGAGTGAGTGAGTGGGGGTCGCAGCTGGGGTTGGTCAGGGCATTTAAGGCCTATTAGTGCACTCAGGGCTCTGACAAAAAAATACCCAAGAATTTAGGAATGCTACTGTTTTATGTATGCCTCTTTTAACACCCGCCTGAGTTCACTTGTTTTGCCTCACCAGCTGCAATAGCTAGCTCCATACGGAGTTTGCCATCTTTCTCGTCTCCTTTCCTATTGCACATTCCATGAGATTTTTTACTGTCTCCAAATCACAGTTCTCTACCTTTTACATTGTTCTCTTTTCCCCTTGCAGGCATAAGCATCTGCAAACATTGCTTCCAGGTGCAACAGGACCGCAGAAGTCCAATTGTTCTTCACACAACAGTCTGTTAAAAAGATGGAACTGCTTGACATTTTCTTCACTCTGTGCAACAGATATCAACCTTTTCTGCTTTTTATTTGAAATGACATGTGTAGGGCCATTTCATTTGTGTAGCTGAAAATCTCCAATGACAACTCTTCCATTTCCAAGACAATTCATTTTTTTTATTTTCCGTATTTGTGTTAATAAACAAAAAAGGTTGTGAATATGAATGCCCTTGGGAATTAGAAACATAAAAAATCTTAGAAATACAGGTGTAGGTATGACCTCTAGTCCATCCCCATGCTCTGCAAAAGGGATCAATTTCTGTAAGTACATATGAAATATCTCTGAATATATGTATTTCTAATTATATGCCACTCTAAAGCAGCTTTCACACTTCTGTATCAAATACAGCTCAGGTAAACCACTGCAAACCTGGAGTCCCACAACGTGCCTAGCTGCTCACAACAGACAGTTATACATCTTCTTTTAATATCCAACTTAAATTTCTGTTAGTTCCTGCTAAATGATTATTTGTCTCCTGCCCACAGAGAACACACAGAACAACTGATCGTTTTCCTTTTCAAGGCATCCTTTATGAAGACTATTAGTTATTCTCTCTCAGTCTTTTTTATTTTAGACCAAAAAAAAATATGCTTTCAATTTTTTGTCATCTGTCCATATTTCCAAATTACCAGTCAGTTTTGTTGCCCTCCTTATGACTCCATCCAGGCTGGCTACATTGTTCTTTGAGAGCGGTGACTAAAACAGGACTCCAACTCTGGATTCAGAAATATTTCAAATTACTTTTTTGCCGTTTTCCCTTTGTTTTGTTTTTACCAAAACTACTAGTAAATGTGCAACATATGCAATTCAAGCATAGTTTTGACAGGACAATTAAATAAATTCAACACCTGGACATTTAAGTATTACTTTATATCTTACAACTGTGCTGGAGCTAGAAAGTCAAAGGACTGTACTGAAAGTGAAATGTTTTTGCTTACTTTCACTATCAACTTGAAGCAAAGTGTAAATTAATAACGACAAGGACATTCATTACCTTTGTTTCTATAGAGGCGTATAACAACACAGATAAGGACATGGCTTACTACATACAGTCCAGCCAGCTAGTCCTTTAGTTAAAGTTACCCAAAATTATTTGATTAGAAGATCACTGTCACAAGGGCAGGGGAATACTTACTTGTGTACAGTGACAGATTTAGCCGTTTGGATTGAAATTTTCTACTTCAAGAATCTACCTCGATCTCGATTCTGAAAAGTATCATTTGAAATAATGGATACATTTTTGAGAATACGAAAAAATCTTAATTTGACCATCGTACAAATAAATAACTTGTGTCTTTGTGTGGGGCTTGGTCATGCTTCCAGATTAATTTTTGCTAGTTTAGCTCCCTGGGCCGCCTAACTATGGGACTCGGTAAGAGATGGTGATTGATGGTGCAGGCTGATTATGTCTGAAGTACGTGGCCCTTTTCTAAACTTGCTTCACTGAGCATACTGCAGCGATGAAGATCGGAATGCACCATGTCCTAATGTCCCTGCACTAGCTGAAGGTAGCTCCTGCTCAGTGAGTACTGAACAAATGGGCATTTTCATAGCGCCCGTATTCTGTATGTCCCGGGAAGGTGGACGTTCTGTGGAAAGAAATCTTTTGTGATTGAGCAAATAAAACCTGAGTCATAACATATACGCATAGTGACCCTGTTTCAACA